GTAAAACGCTAACCAAAATTTGTCTAATCATTATAAAACAACATTTGCAATTTAATTTTGAATCTGCCAAACTCAATCTTTTGAAATCGTGGAGATGTTTTACAGTTATCATAGGCATGGTAAATGCTTAATCAAAATATATTTGCTTATCCCCTCCAAAAAATTGATGACGTCATCTCAAAATTTTCCCCGGTAAATCCTACCTAAATTGTGCAAAATATGATCAGTGTGTGATTTATCACTGCATTCATATCTTTTAAATTTGCTTGAACAGGGTATTTAAAAAAAAATTAATGAATGCGTGAATTTATTTTATTGATTTAATCAGGAATTGCAAAACCGAGTCATTGGAAATCTTGGAGATGTCTTAAAGTTGGTAAATTTTTTATCAAAATGTATTTGCATACCCCCCCTAAAAAATTGATGACGTCACCTCAAAATATTGCTGAATATACCCTATCTTAAATGTGCAAAATATGATGATTGATGAGTCTATACTTGTGATTTATTTTTAATAAATATAATTAATATTTTTTGAACTTGCTTATACAGGGTGTCTCAGAAAAATTAATGACTGGGTTGTTAAAAAATAAATATCCAATACGATTTAGGAATTTAACTCGTTACTATAGAAATATGCAAATTAACACCTTTTAAATTTAGTTAAGTTAAGCTTTTACAAGTTTAACAGGGGCTAAATCAGTCTTATCTGAGCAAATGCTAGCCCCGTCCACCCGCCCCTATTTTCTCAGAGAATATATCACTTGCCAAAATAAGAGTGGGCGGGGCTAGTATTCGCTAACATAAGTCTTATTTTAGCAAATGACATATCCTCTGAGAAAATAGAGGGCGGGTGGGCGGGGCTAGTACTTGGTAAGATAAGAATAATTTTAGCAAATCGTAGATCCTCTGAGAAAATAGGGGGCGGGTGGGCGGGGCTAGTACTTTAGTAAGATAAGACTGATTTTGACAAATGACATCCTCTGGGAAAATAAGGGGCGAGTGGGCGGGCCTAGTATTTGTTAAGATAAAACTGATTTTTCCCCTATGAATCTTGTAAAAACTTGTGAAATTTAAAGGTGTTAAATTGCAAAATTTCCAAAGTAACGAGTTAAATTTCTAAGTCTACTCGAAATGTGCAAAATACGATGAGTTTTTACTTGTGATTTATCATTGCATTCATATTTTTTAGATTTGCTTATACAGGTGGCTCAAAAAAAATGAATGTGTCAATTTATTTTATTGATTAAATCAGGAGCGGCTCACTCCAATTTCCTAGAAAATTTTGGGAATACAATACTGTTATTTTTATTATGACACTGCACCAATCCAAATTGATATACGTGTCCTTGCAAAAATGTTAATGACTTCATCACAAAATTCTGTAAAGTAAAAGCTCAACTCAAAAATGCTGGATATATTTCACTGTACTTTAAGTGCGAGGGAAGTTCTGTCGAAACGGCTTTCGACCAATTTTTCGATCTATCTATCTAAATCGATATTTTGTCTTTGTAACTGAATGTCCAAAAGACCAAAGGAATTTTGTATGATTTTCCTTGTAGTTGTGACCTGCCATGTTCACCATAAGCTTAAAGTATGTGACTTGTTCGATAAATTGTAAAATTTTTTGTACAATTCTTATTTTTTCTCCAAAAAACTATATGACGAAGATTAGTAAACAGCCGGTTTACAAAAAACTTGATATTTCACATATTTTGCAGAAAACTTCGTTAACAAAATTTTTATATAACGTCAATGAATTTTTTGTGGTGATAAACAGACAAACTTTGAATAGCATTTTAGGATCTGTACGATATTTCTAAAGTATATCTAAAATTTCAAAACAATTAATCCAGTGGTTTCCGAAATTATCTATCTGATCAAATCGCTAAACAACAGACGACAAATAGACGGAAGCGGAAGACCTTCTTTTTCATCGTTTAGAGGTCGATAAAACATGAGGTAGGTCTTTCTCGCCGGATGAGCCATATTGTAATATTACTAGGTTATGTTCGGAGAATGAAAACTGTATCCAGCTTTTTCGAAAAAGTGTAAAATTTGATTTTGCCAAGTTAATTTTTTTTAAGACAACCCTGTAAATTAAAATAAAGATAATGTTAAAGTAAAGATCAAGAAGTTTATTATCCGAATGAATGTTTCTAATTAATTTTTCCATTACAAAATTTTGTGGTGACAGCATCAACCAACATTTTACTGAAGACACACATATCGGTTTCGATAGGTGTAATGTAATACTAATAATAACAGTACCGTATTCCAAAAAAATTCATTTATTTTTTTTAGTATGTAACAATTCTAAAAAATAAATATGAATGCATTGATAAACAACAAGTATATACTAATATAGGATTTATTCAGTAAAATTTTGAAATTGCGTCATACATTTTTTGGCGGGAATAAACGGATAAATTGATTAAAAATGTACCATGTTTGCGACAACCTTAAAACGTTTTCAGGATTTCAAAGCATTCGATTTTGCAGTTTCAAAGTTAAATTTAAAATGTTACAAAATTTTGAGTTTTTCTGTTTTAAAAATTTGGATGTCTATTTGAATTCATAACCTTCACATGTGGGGGTATGTTTTTTCATAAAATCTAAATAACATTTACCATGTTAAAATTTTGAGGTGACGTCATCACCTTGTTGGTGGGGATGAGTAGATAAATTTTGGTTAGTGTACTACCATCCCCACGGTATTTTAACACACCTATAAAATTTGACAACAATTGGAACCCTAGTTTCGGAGGTTTAATAAAGGTTGACCCAGACAGACAGATGACAGATAGACGGAAACGTGACACCGTCTTCTAGGGGTCATGAAACGTCGAGAAAACATGGAAATAGTCATTCGTCGAATTGATTCTATTACGCTTACGACCGGGAAGTAAAAACGACGTTTTTTTTCATAACTCAACGTACGTAAACATACAGGCTTTGATATGTACAATGTTCATAAATCATATCATTTCTGGGTCTCTAGAATCTATGAAATAAATATAGCACATAAAGCAGAAGCAGGGCCACAGTTAAGGACGTACTTAGGAATTAAGATTTATTTAATAAATTTTGAAAATTACTATTTTACCTTTGTGAAGTATAAGATAAATGCATCCAAGTGTACAGGAAGACGTTCACGAGGCAACATTTTGAGATAAGGTCTATACTATATTCCTAACATACACCTAAAAGTTGGCAACAAACGGTCTTTTAGTTCCTGAGATTATCTGTTTATAAAAATCGCCACAAACGACAGACAGAGAGAAACGGGAACATATGTTTTCCGACTCTAGGGGTCATAAGACGTCTAGAAAACATGACAGTAGCCATTCGCCGGGTGGAACCGATTACAATAGTTATACTGCGTAATATGTTAGAAATCATTTTAAATGTTTTATCTATACGAGTACTTTTTTTTTAATTTGGGAAATATTCACAGTATAGGATTTTGCAAGAGAAATGTAATAAAAATTAAAATGTAGATAATATGAAGATATAATCGAAAAAACTCTGTTACGAAGCGCTTCAAAGTATTACAAAGTTGTAAATGACGATAAAAAAAATAATTACAGTTCATGAGTCTGAAATGTCTGTACCTCGTGTTCTCTAAATTTTATATGAAAATAATTTCCAGCGCTCTATACACTGCATACTACATTGTATATAAATACATCTTAACTCTGGCATGCAACTAAGTGAACTGTGAAATGGCATTCAATGCCATTGATTATAAAAAAATCAGAGTCTGGGCTTCCAATTTCCTTTGAATACGACGCAGTGCTTTCCCTTGGCGACACAATTAATGAATTTGGTAGGAATTCAGGTTCAAAAATAATCCCTAAATTTCGCAGCAACGCGTGTAATGAGCAATTTGAACAGGCACCGTTAAAAATAGTCTGGGTTCCACAATATTTACATAGAGTCATAAAATCAACTATGTATTTAACCGGTTCATTTTCGCAGAAACATCCTCATATTCCGTGGTCAACATTTTGTCTAAAATAAAAAAAAATACATTTCGCAAGTACCAAACACATCGATTTTACGTGTTCTCCATCATTTAAGTGAATCTGCCAGAAATCAATATCTAGGGGATTTTAATTAAGAAGAGAAAAATAATATAAAACTAAACGGAAAAAACTTAATTGGATGGTTAGGGTGAGCTTAAATATTTGACAGCTAATAACGCCATGGGAAATTTTATATATAAAGTGGTATGTGCTGTCGGATTCAATTTAACACCACGTGGGGAAAATTGTGTGAAATGACTGGCGCAATTGTACGTGAAAACTTTACCGTATTGTATCATTTTAAACGAAAAGTACAACTGACAAGATCTTATTTTCTGGTAGAATGAAATAACTTTCATTCCTATACAACAGATTAATAGTTTATGGTGTATACAAACAGTCGTTGAAAATTGTAACTAATTCACTTAAATTTGCTTTCAGGAAAATGTGAAAATGAAAATACAGTAACTTTTACCTAATATGCGTGTGTGTCGTATACCTTATCATGCAATCAAATCAACGTACATGCATACGCCTTCATTAAATTAGACTGCACTGATTGGATTTTGATTATTTAGCCTCAGCTTTCGTGAAAAAAGCCGCTCCATAAAAGTGAAAATCAAGCGCATTTCATCTATCCGTGACGAAACCGCTTCGTTTCTTTTCACAGTAAGTCACAATAGACGTCCGTCAGCTCAGAAAATAGGCGTCTTTCCCGCAATTACCAATAATTGGATTCCATTCCGTCGATAGCGTTATTAATTTATAGAGTTATTCGTTGTCATAGAATACAGCCCTCTTAATCTGGTTTTTATTCGTGTTTGTTGATACAAATGATTGGGTGGGTGGATCTGCGTTTTGGGATTAATGGAAATTAATTTTCGGTCGATTGAGCCGCGACAAAAAGCGTGTTAGCACTGTGGAACATCGAGTGTCACATCCTTGTGTTCTTGTGTGGGATGTTGTACTTACATAGACGGCTCCTCGGTAGAGAACTTTAAAAACATTCAACAGTTTAGAAAAAGTTTGATGCACTCCACGTAAACTCCACAGAGGTCCTAATTAACATAGAGTGGGTCGAGAGTGGCCAGTGGCTGAGTGCTTCGCAAAAGTTTGTTAGGGATTAAAGTTAGCACGTGTTTGGGTTGAACAGGTATGTCAGAAACCAACAAAAGTTTTTCCGTTTGTTACATTTTCAGAACTCCGAATGTCGAAAGGTGAGGCTGTAGCAACATGAACAGTTGGCAGGAGTCGTATGTTTACGTCATACGAGAGAGCGAACTGGCCAGCAGGAGGCGGTTCGAGCCTCTTGTGAGCAGCAGGAACACTGGTGTGTTATCAGGACTCGAAGTCCTTTGAACAGGACAACGTACGCTTGCGCCACCGCTTTGCCGACGGAATCCTCCGACCGGAATCGATACCCTCCATATATCCAGAACGATATCCGTCAAGCAAAGGACAATTTAAACGCGTCTCGGAGCGGCTCTAAGTGGTTCACTTTTTTGGCTTCTGACATGCAAGTTGAAATTCCTTCCTGGAAGTTGCACTCTGTGCGGATTAATTTATTAAATTGAACACGGCCGAGGGGAAATTGTTACAATTGTATAGCTGGATAGTTGCGGATACGATTCCCGGCAGTAATCGTTTAGTTATTTCGAGTGATAACAAAAATAGTCACAGTTTAATACGGCCTAATGCGTTGTCGTTTACGCTACAACAACACTTTTTTCAGAATACTTTTTATCTAAGGACGTTAGGGATACTCGGACGAAAACTTTTACCGCTTATTAGAGCCTGTAACGTGTTCCCTTCATTATCTCTTTGAACTTCCGGTAATCGAGTACAAAATAAAAGATTATTATCAAAAAACAGGCACACATCTCTATCGAATAATGCACTCCTAATAAATAAATGTACTTAGAGTGCTCAATTCAATTTAATGTTATTTTTCGTTGTTACTTTTATCATTTTTGGCAACTTATTGGTGCAATACATACATATCTTTACAATTTTTATTGATAATCCTTGAGCTTCCAATTTTTGAAATACTTAGTTAATCCGACGTTCAGAGTTGGTCTTTTTACGGTCACGTAGATGGCTTTCTGTTTGGCTTTATAGAAAATTGTTTCTTGTCAAAACTACAAAAATTCCCTTGCCAAAGAGTAGTCGGAAAATCGGAATTATGATTCCACTCGATGCTGGCTTTAATGAAAATAAAAAGTAAAAAAGTTTATTTCAAGAACGAATACAGCAATATGTTGAATAGTCTTTTTTATGTAGGAGTGATGAGAATTCAGCTCACTTCTCTTTCGAACTTCATACAAACTAATGAAAATCAAAGTTTACACAGAACCCATACAGTCTACCAATGAAATAACTAAAAAAATATTGGAATTGTAAAAAAAATGGCAAATTTAATAAAAATAATGTAATGACCACAACATTTCACCGAAAATTAACATGTGAACAAAATTCTGAAAACCCGCGAAAAACTCGAAAAGTGGTCATGAACTATAATCGTCAACAAGATGGGACCCTGCGTTGTGTTTTGAAATGGCGGAATGTGTTCTGATGCAAAGTGGTGAACCGGAAAGGTGGAAAAGTGACCTTGAATTAATGGCACAAAATTATTGCGGGAATAATTTTTTTAAATTCTTTCTTTTTTTTAAAGTGCTGTATTTTCCAACTACAATAATCTCGTTCTTTTCAAGTGCAAGACTACAAATTTACCAGCAGAACACCCCTCGCATATCTCGCGTTGGTCGAATCCGGTATTACCAATAAACATTCATATAAATGACATGAGAAATCTGTCAATTTGGACTTGGGCCGAACTCACGAACCGAATTCAATAAAGCAAAATTAATGATACAAGAGTACATCGTGAATCGAATTCCCCAACACATAAATACATAAAACACACGTTAAATATGGTCCAAAACACAAAATATCTTTCGGTAGATACGTCGCTTTGAGAGGTACGTCCGAGTTTAAACGTTTTAAATAGATAAACATAATACAAAGTCAGCATAAAATCCCATTTCCCTTCTCGAATCTACTACGAACATTTATTTCGCTGATTATTTCCGAAGCGACTCAATATTTAAAAACTAAATCTTGAATATTGTAATGTATGATTATGCGCATTTGGTGTGACGTCATGTGGCTGTCATGACCGCCAACTTTAAATTCTGGCTTTTTGCATGTACGTCAATGAAGGATGGCAGATTTTGAACACATGTTATTAGCAAATGATTTCACCTCAGAGACATTTCACAATTTAGAATACATATTATAAGATATTGCAACGAAACATTTCTGGTATAATATAGATGTTTTTTTTTGTCGTATAACAAAACAAAATTAATAATTTCTAGGAATTTCATAAAATTAAATAACAATTTTATCGTAAGAAAAACTGACAACCTCAGGCACCCAAAAATCGAATTCTCAGGAAAAGTTCAATTATAATAACAACATGTAGCTTTAAAATTAGTATTGTATGTGTTTATAGGTCTCTAGAGGGTAATTATATAGGGTTTTTTTAAAAATAATTCTGAGGGAGAGGGTGTTATGCCTCATTATGACAGTTCTCACTTGTCATTAATGTCATTTAAAGTCATCGCTTTTATTGTTCTAACGTTGTTCAAGTATGAATTACAGTAATTCTCGTTGATCCAAGTTCAAAACAACAAAACAGTAGTTTCCAAAACTCTTGGTACTTGCTTACGAAAATTTTGTTTGTGTACTAGGAAGCGAAGACCGTGAAAATGGTTTATTCTGTCGAACAAGACACTTTCATTGTTATGTTTTATTATCGCAACGGGACATTCGTAAACGGGAAGTGTGTGTATTCTATAACCACTTGTAAGCAAGAATATCTGGCCAAATACCCCGATTTGCAAATTCAAGAAACATCGTTAGAGGCTCACATGAGAAATGTAATCAGCAGATTTGTTCATTTATTTGAACTGGCAATGGGAAATCTACTGGAAGACCTTCAGTGTCTAAGGAAGTTGGTCATGATTTGAGACGACTCGAGCAGAATCCGCAAACAGAATTGTTTGAGCAGTCAGGAGTTCCTGTTGCACCATGAAATTGAACAGTGGGTCCAAGGCATTGACGAAAGGATGTTGCAGAACATTTTTGAATGAAAAGAAAGTGAACATGTGGCTTGAACAGAATAGTGAATATATTTTAAACATTTACTGCGACTTTTAGCTGCAATAAATTTGTTTATTTTTATTGTAATAAACTAGTTTCATTTTTCAATAAGATATGAAGGATTTACGCAGCCAGTTATATAGATACGTGTGGTATTTGTTGTCGTGAGTCCTTAGGCATTTAGTTAAAGCCACATAAAGTTATAGGCGGCACGCTTTCATGATTTACTTCGACCCTATATTCTAACTAACTTTATAGAAAAACTAGAAACTTCGTTGAATAAAATTTCAAAATATGACACAATAATGTTTGTCTGTGGGAATTTCAATTTAAATTTTTTAGAGAAATTAAATAAAAGAGTCCATAGTATCAAATCTAATGCAGGGTTTTTGAACTTCGACAATGGGTTATGAATATTCTAGGGAGCAAGATAATTTTAAAAAACTCTAATTGATAACAAAACAAGGTGAGATAAAAGCTATTAATACTGGTCCATCGGACAACTTAGGGCAGGTGTTGTCAATCTTTATTCCAAATCATACAAGAATGTATTGACTCTTTCTGAGAATTGGTTCTGATTCCAGCACAAATTATTTTAGGAGGTTGGAAGAAACATGAGAAGAGATTTATAACGAAACCACTAATGTAAATAAATATTTCATTTACATTTTGCTACTATTTTAACAATACAAACTATATAAATATTCAAGTAATAAAGGAAAAAACAAGTAGACAACTAAAAATGTCATCGAAGAAACTAGTTTACTTATATCAATTGATTCTCACTGTGCAAAATCCTTTAATTCTAACATGAATGAAACTTACCGGAATTAAAAAAAAAGAGAAACTTAAGGTAGAGAATGTAAAAAATCGTATAATGATCGTCAAATTTTGGTGAGTCGTAATGTTAATAAGATGTCATGGCAGGTTATAAATGAAACTAATCGTAAAAATTGGTCTAAAGAGTTTAGACAGTACTTCCCTCGCTGTCGGATTAGATTTCAAAGCATTCGGTTTTGTAGTTCCTGAGTACATCAATAAAATAAATTTACGCATGCATTATTTTTTTTGAGTCACCCGGTATATGCAAATTCAAAAAATATGAATGGGATGATAAATTACAAGTACAGACTCATCATATTTTGTACATTCTTGACAGGATTTATTCGGCAAACTTTGGAGCTGACGTCATCAGTTTTTTGGAGACGATAACCAAATATATTTTGACTAAAAATTTATTATGCTCTTTATAACCTTAAAACACCCGCAAGATTTCAAAACATTCGGTTCTGTAGTTCCTGATTAAATCAATAAAATACATTTACGCATTCATTTTGTTTTGGGTCACCCTGTATATGCAAATCGAAAAAATATGAACGGAATGATAAATCACAAGAAGAGAGTCATCATATTTTGTACATTTTAGATAGGATTTATTCAGCAAAATTTTGTGGTGACGTCATAAATTTTTTAGGGGGGATGAGCAAATACATTTTGATCAAAAACTTACCATGCTTATAATAACTTTAAAACATCTTCAAGATTTCAAAGCATTCGGTTTTGTAGTTCCTAAGTAAATCAATAAAATAAATTTACGCTTTCATTAATTTTTTTGAGTCACCCTGTATATGCAAATCCAAAAAATATGAATGGAGTGATAGATCACAAGTACAGACTCATCATATTTTGTACATTTTAGATCGGATTTATTCGGCAAACTTTTGAGCTGACGTCATCAAGTTTTGGAGGAGATAACCAAATATATTTTGACTAAAGATTTATAATGCTCTTTATAGCCTTAAAACATCAGCAACATTTCAAAGCATTCGGGTTAGCAGATTCAAAATTAAATTGCAAAATGTTGTTTTGTAATTTTGATTTTTTTTTCCAAAAATCTGGACATTTGGGCTGAAAACTCAATTCGTAGTCGTAAACTACATGTATAGGACTATGTTATTCTATACAATTTAAAACCAATTTACTATGTACAATTTTGAAGTGACGTCATCGCATTAGTGGTGGGGATGATTAGATAAATTTTGATTAGCGTTTTACCATCTACATGGTATTCCTAACATAAGTACAAAATTTCACAACAATCGGTCCATTCGGAGATTATCTGTCTAATAAAAATCCGGGACGGCAGACGGACAGACAGACGGAAATGGGAAACCTATTTCTTCGTCTTCTAGGGGTCATGAAAGATCGAGAAGACGTAAAAGTAGGGAGTCGGCCGACGGACTCGATTACAATACTTCCTTTGC